TGGGAAAATTTCCTCACCATCACAACCCTAGCCCAGATTTGGGCCAGTTCTGCTTTATTTGGTTTATTCATGGCTGACATTGGGCCTTCCTTTGGCTTGCTTTTGGCCCAAATCTGGCAAACCGGAGCGGACCGCCCAAATGCCATAATTCTTCACAGTATGTGGGCTGGAGTAAGGTGTTGGATCCGGGCCGGATCTGGGCCAGAATTAAAATCAATGTGGCCCAGATTTGGGACAGTTCTGCTTTATTTGGTTTATTCATGGCTGACACTGGGCCTTCCTATGGCTTGCTTGTGGCCCAAATCCGGCAAACAGGAGCGGACCGCTCAAGTGCCATCATTCTTCACAGTATGTGGGCCGGAGTAAGGTTTTGGATGTGGGCCAGAATTCATATCAATGTGGCCCCGATTTGGGCCAGTTCTGCTTTATTTGGTGTATTTATGGCTGACATTGGGCCTTCTTTTGGCTTGCTTGTGGCCCAAATCTGGCAAACAGGAGCGGACCGCCCAATCGTCATCATTCCACACGGTATGTAGATGAAAGTGTCCGGTGTGGGCCTGATCTGGGCCTCAAAAATCTTGCTATCTGGGACATTGGTCAGTGAAAATTGGAAATCTTTTCTTTGTACTCTTTTCAGTTAAATAAAAGTTAAAGAGCATTAATAAATCACAGATTCTTGATTTTATTGCATTTTACAAAACATCCCAACTTTTCTGGTATTGAAGGATGGAAGTGAAAATGCCTTACAACCCCATAGACAATTATATATCATTTATAAGTAATTAAAGACAAAAATGAATAGTAGTTAAGATTGATGTGGTTTGGAATTGGTAAAATGTGCTTGGAAATAAACTATGACCAGAATATCAACTTGCATAATTATGCACGCACTATAGTTGCTACTGATATCAACATGCAAACAGAATTTTTTTTTTGGTAACCAGATTCCTTGAAGACTTCACTTCAAACTGTTTTTTCTCTGAGAGTGCTGTACCAACATCAGAAGCTGTTCAACTACATTGGGCTGATATTCAACACAAATATGGTAAAATAAGCTCTATGTCTGCTGATGTTGGGGATGTTTTTTTTTCTTGAATGCATGGAATGAAGCAGCAAACACCTTGAAAATACCAGGTATGGTTTACTTGTTTCAAAAGTTGAACAGGATCTGTTTCAGGAATGGCACAAAGGTGTGTTATTCTGTGTCTTTAAGTCTCTGTGTTTAGATCTTGGTGCTCAATAATGTGTCTTTTACCTTCACTGTATAATCACTTATGATTATTGTCACAAGGTAAGCTTGGTGACAGACAAGAAATTACCTGGACTTGATACACATGCACACATCATTACTTGATTATGCCGGCATTTACCATCTTTTAAATCATCATTTTGTTGTGTAATTGTTGTGCCTGTTTCAAATGAGTATGATCCTATGTTGTTGTTGTTGTTTTTTTGTTGGCCAACATTTTGTTCAATCAGTTATTCTTTTTAAAGAATGTCACAATACAGTTTCATTTCATTCAGAATTACCTTCATTTCGGGTGAGAATTTCCCCCAAACCTTTTGTTTTGGCTGTTGGCCTTCCAGTCTCATGCTGTACCATCAAACAGACCATGTGGATCAAACTGGTTTTTATAACATTAGCATGCACTTATTGGACTGAACCATTGATAGTTTTGTCTAGGGGAAGGGGGAATAGCAGCTGAACGATTCTTTATTTTTCTTTTCCTTTTTCATTTTTTATGGTGTGTTTAAGTACCCATGGGATTATGCAGATTGTTATTTCTGTGTATGTGTAATGTTTTATCATTTTAATTTCTTCTGTGTATAATGTATTGTATGTATGGTCCCTGTTTGGTCATTTGGTACAGTCTGAAGGGGGAGCTTATAAATTTATTATAAATAAGGAGCTATAAAGCTTATCAAGACTTGTTTGTTGAAAACTAAAGGAGAGACCCTGTTGCAAATTGGACCAAAGTATTTGGTGTAGCCTTTCTTTGCACATTGTTGCAGTTTTGTTTTGTACAGTTTTTGTTTGTAGTCCAGTATGTGTCCATGGAATTTTTCCCCACCTCGCGGTTAATTACAAACTGAACGATTCGTTGGACTAATCCTATTACATATGGAAGCTAAAAGATTTTTAAGTGTGTGAAATATAATGTTCTCAGTGCCACTGCGCTCAACAAGACAGTCCAAACGACATAACAGGCAACGTGCTGTCAAGTGGACGGGCACGCAGGGCACGCACTGCGAAAGGCCCCGCGATAACCTCCTCTTGCTGGGGTGTGTTGAAAGACGATGATCTTGTATCAACGATAGCCAGAGATATTGTCAAAAACAACAATTATTGGCAATATTAAGAGGATTTGGCATTTCCAATTAATGTAGGCCTGAAGGAGAGACCCTGTTGCAAATTGGACCAAAGTATTTGGTGTAGCCTTTCTTTGCACATTGTTGCAGTTTTGTTTTGTACAGTTTTTGTTTGTAGTCCAGTATGTGTCCATGGAATTTTTCCCCACCTCGCGGTTATAAACCACCTTTTTGCGATTCACTAAACCTCTGACCAGCTTGATTGTAATTATTTCTTCTGACCACTGGGCCATCTCTTACAATTATACTGCATTGTAAATAAAATACAAAAAAAAACAACAACATTATTTTGATCTCCTCACATTCTTTCTTACCTGCCTCACAGTCACTCTGATGGGCCATTAGGCGAGGGCCCTTTGTTTCTCAGGTGTGAATCACTAAATATTCATGGCCATTGTCACTCCCTCGCATTCAGTCTTTCTAACACAAAACATGTTTTACAAAAGTTAAATCTCTCTCTCTTTCTCTCTCTCTATACATACATACATATATATATATATATATATATATATATATATATTTTAAAACAGGTCTATATACAATGAATTATAGGCCTATAATTAAAATATTAATAATATTAAATATTAAGCAGTCATCAAAAATAAGTGAATAAAAAGCTTTAGCCTATTTCAAACACCAACTTTCAAAAACAACCTGTTTAACACGAAATACGTTTCTTGGCCTTTTTTTTGTCTCCACTATAAGGGCCACAAGAAAAATATTGAGGGAATAAATGAAAACAGTTAGCTATACACCTTTATCAGCATTTGTTGAAGTAGATTGGTCTCTCGTCGTCTCTGAGAGAATATGCAGCGACAGATACAGAAAGCTTTGTCATTACTCCGTCATTCCATTTTTACTTTCACTTTCTGCATAGTGAATTAACTGAGATTAAGACGTTCACCGGCATAACTCTTGCACGAAGTTTGCACGTTGCTTATGTGATATCCATAGGCTCACCTTCATGGTTTAAAACAGAAATATTTCCGACATTGCGATGTAAGCAATATATATCTACCACAACCCATTCTCAAAAGTTCTGTAAAAATGTTCTGTATGTGTTTTATGGCCTTGTTTCTGTTACTTAAAAATGTTACTTTTTCACTAGCCACGCATAAACATTGTTTTCTCAAAAACGCAAACATGTACATTCATGTTGCTTACAAATTATTGTAGGACAGTTTGTGCTGAATACAGCGTAATCAGACTTTAGCCATTAATATGTTTTTAAGATACTGAAAAAAGCACAAATGTCAAGGCATGCCCAAACTTCTCCAGGGCCCCAAAACCCCCTCAGACCCCAGAGGGTTAAAGGAGACCATTGTGAGAGTGTTACAGCTGTGTGAATTTGGGAAGCAGGAGACTCAAGCAAAAGTCTCCATTTTGATGTAGCTTCATTTCTGTCTAGGATAAATATTTAAGATGTTAAAGAGATCTCACTTTTGATATTTTTTTTCCTCTGGTTTTTCACAATCGTTCTAAAGGATGCATACTTTCACATTTCCATCCTTCCATCTATCCCCGCTTTCAGGGCGAAGTGTACCAATTTCGGGTTCTTCCATTCAGCCTAGCACTATCCCCATGCACATTCATGGATGGGCATGGATGCAGCACTGGCTGCTTTGAGACTTCAGGGCATCCGTGTACTCAATATTGATGACTGCCTTTGCACTTTGTCCTTTAGTCTCAACCCCAACAGCTTTATGTGGGTGAGGATGACATCTTGGAGCTGGCAGTTCAGCTTCAAGATGTCATCCTTACCCACATAAAGCTGTTGAGGTCGAGACTAAAGGACAAAGTGCAAAGGACAATCTTCTTGGGAGTACTGTGAAACTTGATTACAATGCAATTGCCTTGTGCTCGTTCAAGTCGATCCAGCAGTGCTCAGGATGAAGCTAGGCCAAGCCGTCACTGCCAAACAGTTTCATAGACTGTTGGGTCTGATGGCCCCCTATGTCGAACGTGATACAGTTTGGCCTACTGTATATGAGACCAATGCAGTGGTGGCTCAGAACCAAGGGTTTTTTCCTGAGGAGCAATACGTTCTGCATGATGAAGGCCCGGGTAATGGAAACTGGTGGAGTTAATTTTGGAGGAAGTTCGGCCAGAACAGAAGTGGATCTGTTTGCCTCCCAAGAGACAACCCACTGTTAGCTCTGCTTCTCCCTCACACATCCAGCTCCTTTTGGACTGGATGCCGTGGTGCAGATGTGGCTGAGGCTACGTCTGTACACCTTTCTTACAATCTCTCTCTGGGTTTCTAGAAAGATTTCACCATGACAGGATCAGTCTACTCCTTGTAGCCCCATTCTGGCTGGCCCAAATGTGGTTTTCAGACCTCTTAGTCCTCATGTATCTCTGTGGGAGATACCCATCAGGAGGGACCTTCTATCGCAAGCTGGGGTCACAATATATCACCCCTGATGTGGAAACTGTGGGTCTGACCCCTGAGGGGATCAGCTCCTGAACACTGGTCTCTCGGCTGAGGTCGTAAATACAATCTTAAACTCTTAAACAAATAAATTATTTGTATAACTGTAGCAGATTAAGTAATGTGTGTGTGTTCCTTAATGGAAAACAAACCTAAGATATTCGAAGGAAAGTCGTTAAATGTACACATTGGCACTTACAGGAGGAATGGCTGCTGGGAAAACTTTTCCGGCCCTCAGACACCAGGTCTGGCTCTCCAGTACACAGCATCTTTGCATCCATCTGTCCGTCAGGGAAACAACGGTGGAAGTAGTCTGGCCTTGGTCTGTGATCAAGATCAACACCAATGGCAAAAGCATGATTATAAATGACAGAAAAAATATACAAATAGCTCTTTATATACAGTGTGAATGCTTATATATAATAATAACCTACTGGCCATTCTTCCAGGGTACTCCCCTGCCTGCAAGTTTTAAGAATGAATGGATGGATGTTTTCAAGGTATGGATGTTCTACTACATATCTCTATTCACGATGGTTTTTATTTAGAGGGGAGTGAGGAATGTAAATATAATAAGGAATGTGAAGTGTCTAAAAGCAGCTCAGAAAACTGAATGTTAATTTTAAACCAGATTCCTTCTGGTCAGAACAGGCGTTTCAGGAGATTCCACTGTGGAACAAAGGTTTTTTTGTTTCACTTTATGTTTTCCATAATTCTGGTGAGCAATATAAAATGAAACCATTGTTTCCCAGCTGCGCCCAATCTCACATTCTGCACCACTGTGTCTGTCTGATTTCAATCCTACAGTGTTCATTGAACCCAGAACAATCCTGGTATAAAACTCTGGTGAAAATAGTACAGAAATCATGTTTGCGCATTACCTGCCAACTATCAACTTGATGGTATTTGTGAAGACGCCATTCAAAGCTAGTGTGAGAGATACTGCTGCAAAACAGAAAAAAACAAGAGACAGGCAGATTAATAATGACCTTTTTACCTAGACAGAATTCACAGTTAAATGACTTTTCCAATCTGATATCAGCCTTAAACCATCCACTATCATTTGTCCTAAACAGCAATGGTTGCCTTCTCAACTGATGTCTGTTTAATACTTATCTCACTGTTGCAGAATTGCAGTGCAGAATTAACTTGTCGAAAGTCTCATCTGAAAATTCTTGTTAACTGTAAACTTTAATGGCACTGGGCGTTTTTGAATTTAAATCATGTATACAAATTCAAAATAATGGAGAGTAAGTAGACAAAGATAATTAATCCTGTGCATTAATCACCCTCACTCTCTGAATCAAAGCCATTATGCATAACTTACTGTATCATCTCATTAGGTCCTATTAAAAAGGGAAATGCCTGGCCAAATTGGTTGACAAGGATTCCTTGATTTAATTGGCCTTATCCAAATGTCACAATGAGTAAAGGAGATGACTTGCGAGTGATAGCTAATCAATGTTCCCTATCCGTCAGTCACTTACACATTGTGTTAAATTACTGACACTAGGGGTCACACTTGGGAGCCCCAAATGCCTCTAACATAATTTGGGAGCTATATGCCTTGAAGTGACTCCGATTCACTTTTTGGTGTTCTTCCCGAGTTGAAGATCCACAGAGACGTGACATCGGGTTGGTGCATTCCTTTCTGCGGGCGCCTGCCTGCCTCCACCCTTAAAGCATATGTGGCTGTAATAGCAGTGAATCATGACACCGTGGGTGGAAAGTATCTGGGGAAGCAGGACCTGATTGTTAGATTTCTGAGAGATGCAAGGAGGTTGAATCCTTCAAGACTGCACCTGATCCCCACTTCGGATCTCTCTGGTCCTATAGTCCTTGCAGGGAGATCCATTTGAGTCAAGCTCAGTACCCTCTCTGAAGATGGTGTTGCACTTAAATGAGAGCCCTCCCCCTCCCTGAGGTGGTAATGCACGCTCCAGAGTGTTCCCCAGGTTTGATGAACCCAGGACATTTCTTCCTACTTCCTAGCACTTATAAGTGAAGGAATTTACTTCCTTGCCCATTACTTGTGGTATGCCCTTTTCAGGTGAGCCCTTGAAATCTGCCTTAGTCTTCCATATGTAGTGACTCCCTGATGGTGATCACATATAAAGTATTTTTCCACTGTTCAGTTTACCTCTTGGTGAACCCTGTTTCTTCCCCTGAACGCAACCTGCTCCGTTGCCAGTCGCTATGGCATAGCTGCATTTGCTTTTTGGCACACGAAAGCATGCCAGTATCTGTGCAGCCAACTCTCGTGACACAGTTCAGTAGTTGTGGCATTTAGTATAGGGACCCCTAGTATCAGTAATTCAACACATCTTCGAAATGACTGACAGATAGGGATAATCTTGATTACCGTATTGTTCCAAACATAAGACTTTATTGTTTTTATTTCTTTTTCTTGGTAAAAATGGGGTCTGAAAAATGGGGTCATCTTATATTCAGGGTCTAGACTTTTACATGTCAAAAATACCTGCAACAATAGGTGGTGTAAAATATGTGTAAAACAAGTGTGCTCCCCAGGACTGAAGTGACCCACTACTGTTTATTGTTCTACTGTGTTATGCCATCTAGCCCAGTGTTTCTCAACTGATAGGTCGCAACACAAAAGTGGATCACGGAGTTGATTAAAGAAACATCAAACCTTTTTCTGATGCAAGACCTTTAGTTTTGAAAGTAGACACAGCAAGAGCGTGTAAGTGTTTTGCTTAATACCAGTTTTCTGTTTCTGTCATTTAGAATACATATCTGATACTAGGGAGGATTAATTCATTTACTACTTATTTTATTTCAAACTTTATGCTGATTGTGCATGTTGTTCGCAAAAAGACTTTTTGCTACCTGTTAATTTGCACTTAAGTGGCAAACTCTACCGCAGTAGGTTCGATTTCAAGCCATTTGTGTGCTATAGGCTTTGCTGTGGTAATTAGAAAGGTGTGGACAGCGACTGTAAGAATATTTAAAACTTGCTGTATTTACTCAAGTGGGTTAAGCTGTGTATTTACAGGTGCATCTCAATAAATAGAATGTCATGGAAAAGTTCATTTATTTCAGTAATTCAACTCAAATTGTGAAACTCGTGTATTAAATAAATTCAATGAACACAGACTGAAGTAGTTTCAGACTTTGGTTCTTTTAATTGTGATGATTTTGGCTCACATTTAACAAAAACCCACCAATTCACTATCTCAACAAATTAGAATACTTCATAAGACCAATAAAACCACGTCTGTGTGTGGTGGCTCTTGATGCCTTGACCCAGCCTCAGTCCAATCCTTGTGAAGTTCACTCAAATTCTCGAATCGATTTTGTTTGACAATCCTCATAAGGCTGCGGTTCTCTCAGTTGGTTGTGCATCTTTTTCTTCCACACTTTTTCCTTCCACTCAACTTTCTGTTAACATGCTTGGATACAGCACTCTGTGAACAGCCAGCTTCTTTGGCAATGAATGTTTGTGGCTTACCCTCCTTGTGAAGGGTGTCAATGATTGTCTTCTGGACAACTGTCAGATCAGCAGTCTTCCCCATGATTGAGTAGCCTAGTGAACCAAACTGAGAGACCATTTTGAAGGCTCAGGAAACCTTTGCAGGTGTTTTGAGTTGATTAGCTGATTGGCATGTCACCATATTCTAATTTGTTGAGATAGTGAATTGGTGGGTTTTTGTTAAATGTGAGCCAAAATCATCACAATTAAAAGAACCAAAGACTTAAACTACTTCAGTCTGTGTGCATTGAATTTATTTAATACACGAGTTTCACAATTTGAGTTGAATTACTGAAATAAATGAACTTTTCCACGACATTCTAATTTATTGAGATGCACCTGTAAGTGAAGTCAGTGTGCTGGTGCAGAAGTGTCAGCTTTCGTGTTCAGCCCTCCTCGTGTGAAGACCGACGAGGTAAAGACCTGTGGCTCTACCTGCGAAACTCAACCGAGCAACGACACAGACAATGCACAGTAGTATCTTTCCTTTATTATACTTACTTACCTTTCCTCTCTCCACCACTTTCAACATGTGCTTCCATTATATTCCTGTTGTCTCTCCACAGAAACTCTTTTACACAACACGCAGGAGACGGAGCAATCATGCTAACCTGTGTCCTATTCACACTTCTTCTATTGCACCCCTTTCTTTTTCTATGGGCCTCTGGAATTGTCAGTCAGCTGTCAACAAAGGTGACTTTATTCCAGCCTTTGCTACTCAGTCAGCTCTTAGTCTCTTAGGCTTGACTGAGATCTAGATTAAACCTGAAGACCATGCAACCCCTGCTGCTCTTTCCAACAACTTCTCTTTCACCCACACCCCCATCAGGTTGGGAGAGGTGGGGGTACTGATCTCCTAATTCCAAAAGCTGGAAATACATGACATGCTCTTATTACTTTAACAGTACTTTCTTTGAATGTCATGCCGTTACAGTCACACTCCCTGTAAAAATCCACATTGTAGTTATTTATTGCCCTCCAGGTCAACTGGCCAACTTTTTAGAAGAACTGGATATGCTGCTGTCCTCATTTTCTGAGGACGGCAGCCCACTAGTACTTTTTGGTGACTTCAACATCCACCTTGAGAAGCCACATGTTGCTGACTTCCACTCTCTCCTAGCCTCTTTCGACCTTCGGCGGCTCAACATCAGTTAACCAACTCCACCTCATATTTACACGCACCTGTAGCACAGATAACATCTTGGTCAAACCCTTGCATGTCTCGGATCATTTCTTTATTACTTTTAATCTACATCTACTGTACTTTCTTCCGCACCACCAATCCCTCTTCCAGGTTTGTTTAGACAAAACCTAAGGTCTCTATTTCCTTCTCAACTTTCCTCTGTGGTATCATCCTCTCTTCCCACCTCCACACACTTTGCATCATTAGATGTGAATTATGCCACATATATGCTATTTTCTACACTAACTAGCTGCCTAGACAATATCAGTCGTATTTCCTCCAGATCAGCACGTGCTACTCCCTCCAAACACTGGTTAACTGATGTCCTCGGCGAGCATCGAACTAAACTCAGGGTAGCGGAGAGAAAATGGAGCAAATCAAAAAATTCAGCTGATCTCAGCAAGTATTAGTCACTGCTATCTTCATTTTCCACCAAAGTTCACACTGTTAAAACTACCATCTTCCATAAGATCAACAGCGCATCAGAGACACGCAAACTCTTCAGAACATTCAATACTGTCCCCCTCCACCACCTCCCACCACCTCTTTAACTGCTGATGATTTTGCTAATTACTTCACAAACAAAACCACATCCATCAGCAGTCAGTTCTCGGCTCTACTCACCCAGGAGCTCACAGCAAACACTCATGAAGCTGACCATCTTCTCTACTCCTTCTCGTGTCTTACAGAAGATGAAGTCTCTAAACTTATCCTCTCCAGCCACCCTACTACCTGTCCTCTAGACCCAATCCCCTCACATATCCTACAAGCTATTTCCCCTGCACGTCTGCCTTTACTCACACACATCAACAACAACTTCTTCTCACAGGCATTTTCCCACCGCATTCAAGCAGGCTTGGGTAACCCCACTGCTTAAAAAAATCTGCTCTAGACACCTCACTTGTTGAAAGGTAAAGGCCCATGTCTCTCCTCCCTTTCATAGCAAAACCACTTGAATGCATTGTTTTCAACCAAGTGTCTTCTGTCCTCTCACAGAAGGACCAGCTGGACAGTAACCAATCTGGATTTAAAAGTGGACATTCAACTGAATCCGCCTTGCTCTCAATCACTGAAGTGCTACGGAGTGCAAGAGCTGAATCCAAATCTTCGGTTCTCATTTTCCTCTGTGTATCTGCTGCATTTGACACTGCTAATCATCAAATCCTTCTGTCCACCCTCTCATCGCTGGGCATCACCGGAACTGCACTCCCCTGGTTTGAGTCTTGGGTCCTTCAGGGTGGCTTGGGGAGGAGAGGTATTCAAATCCCATCA